CAGCCCCGCCCCCAGCCCCGCGCCGCAACGCCTCTTGCACATCCAGATGACGCCGGCGCTCAGCCTCGCCACGCCCCCTGCACAGCCCCCACCGTCCCGCTCCCTGCGCAACCCCGCCCCCTCCGCCATTTTCTGTGGGTAGTGACGATCTCACGAGGGTGAGTAGGTGTCGTCTTTCTCATGCAAAGCCGCGCTTCGCGTCCCATTCACCCACGCGTCCTCCCCGCTCGGGGTCCGTGGGTCCCTGCAGACGTTCACGTTCCCGCACCCGCCCCGCCGTCGTCCCGGATCCGCGTCCGTTTCCGGTGAAAGCAGCTCCGAGCGGGTCCGTCCGGCCTTCCCGCTTCCGGGCCGGGGACCCGCGCGCCCCCTTTCCTGTCAGAGCCCCCCACCGACCCCTCCCCACCTCGCGCCCCGAAAGGCCCCGCGGGGGCTTGTCGTCTGCGTCCCCCGCCCCGTCCCCTGGGCTTGTAGGGCGGCGCCGGCCGCGCCCCACGGCCCCAGGGCGCGAGTCAAAGTTTGGTTCATTCCGTCATTTTCAGTCAAATGATCTGTTTCTTCTTCTCATTCCTGAAGCTTATCATTTCTTTAAAGTTCTATTGATATGTACTTAATTTTTACTATGAAATTTGGATTTCTTTTTTCCCCTAGGTTTACAGATTTGAACAACCGGTTTATTTACCCCCCTCCCCGTGTTTTTTTTGAAGGTCCTTGGGTGGCCCAAACGGTGTTCACAGGTGTACTAACCTATAGTGGTTAAGAGCTGTGGCTGCTAACCAAAATGTCGGCAGTTCGAGTCCACCAGGCGCTCATTGGAAACCTTATGGGGCAGTTCTCCTGGGTCCTGTAGAGTCGCTCTGAGTCGGAATCGCCTCTATGGCGACGGGTTTTTTTGTTTTTTACTAACCCAGAAAAAGATGGTTTAAATCCAGCCAGTGACTCTGGGGAAGAGAATCCTGTGCTTTTGTAAAGATTATAGCCAAGAAAAGCCTACGGAGCAGTTCTGTACTGTAACACATGTCAGGAGTCCAGGCAACGAAGGACAATGGGTATTTTCTTTCTTCGTTTTTTAGTATTACGTTTGTAAAGAGACGTTTATTACAAGATCTCTGCTTTGACCACATTCCCTGGTTTGGAGTACGTTGGTTCTTCCTGGTAACAGCTTACCAATTGTCACACAGGTTATAAAAACTTTTCCTGTAATCAGATTCTAAGTATAGAAACTATCTTTTGTTTTTCGATTTGTTTTGCTTCCTTTATCTGATTTTTGTTTATTTTCATTTTGATTTCACTGTGCAACTGTGGCCTACCTAATATCTCCCCCCCGACTTTTTTTTGAGCTTGTTTCACAGCTTTATTTCTAATAGAAGACAACACAGTATCCAGTAGTAGAATTTTTAAATACAGTAAGATACCGTCTTAATTTGGAATTAGCTGACATTTCATTTATGACTCAGTACATGATCATGTTTGATGAATGGTCAATCAGTGTATCCAAGTGTCTTTGATAAAGGTTTAATTTGTATTCACTAATTTGTTGTTAGGTGCGCTCCAGTTGATTCTGACTGGTAGTGATACCATGTGACAGGGTAGAACTGCCCCATAGGGTTTTCTAGGCTGTAATCTTTATGGGAGCAGATCACCAGGTCTTGGGTTCGAACCACCAGCCTTTCCTTTAGCAGCTGAGGTTTTAACCTGTGCCACCAGGGTTCCTTACTGCACCACCAGGGCCCCTGTTCACTAATTTACATGTACTAAATCCTCAGCATGCTTACATTTTATTGCATTATAGACATGGTGATTTTATTGGAAATTGTTTTTAATTTTCCCTTCAAGCTTCATGATTAATTTTTGTTTGAATTTGAATGTTTCTATTTAGAAACGTTTTCAACATACATTTTTATGTACATACGTAATCATGAATATAATTTCCTCATGTTTAGTTTTCCCGTTTGTTAGTTGCCATCAAGGTAATTCTGTTTTATGGCAACCCTATGTGTTACAGAGTAGAACTGCCCCATAGGGTCTCCAGGGAGTGCCTGGTGGATTCGAACTGCTGACCTTTTGGTTAGTAGCTGAACTCTTAACCATTACTCTTTTAAATTAGCCAGTAGTCGCTAACCTCGTGAAATAAAGTGTGCTGCTGCCCTTGTACCCTATTAAAGGCTGAACCCTGGTCTATTCATGGTCAGTGTGATTCTCCCCTTCTTTGGGACTCCTGTGAATTTGTGTTTGGCCTTCAAGTATGCTTACCTTTAGGCCCTGTGAATGACGGAGGGTCATTTTGGGTGTTGAATGTTAAACTGCAGCTTTGTGTAACAAAAGAAACCCCCAGGTAGTTTCCACACAGGTGGTCCCTCCAGCTGAAGCCCTCTGGGCAGCTGTGTGTTTCCTCCTGCAGTGGGCTCTCATTTACCTCTTCGTATTTGTCTCATATTAACACAAGTCTCGGCTCTCTAATCACATGGTGGGTCTTTCTGGCATGGCCAGCTTCCACTCTGTGTCACCTCTTTAGTATAAACTATCAGGTGAGGACCAAGGGGCCCAGCACGAATCACAAAGGCAGTGCTATCACTCTGGAAATTCCAGTGCTTTACAGGTTCCCTCCCAGGAGCCAGGACAAAGGCCAGAACTCTCTTTGGGATTGTTGTTAGTTGCCATTGAGTCCATTCTGCCTCATGGTGACGCCATGTGTGCAGAGGAGAACTGCTCCATAGGGGTGTTCAAGGCTGTGACCTTTCAGAAGCAGATCACCAGGCCTGTCTTCTGTAGTGCCTCTGGGTGGGTTCGAACCGACAGTCCTTTGGCTAGCAGTTGAGCATTTAACTGTTTGTGCTACCCAGCTGCTGTAGAGCTCTCTTTAGGTGAGATCTAATTCTTTACTACAAAAGTAGAATTTGAATATGTCCATCGTTCTAAAGCACTGAAAAACACGAACAGAAAATGATAATGAAAATCGACCCAGAAAATTCATCATTTAAAAACAACTGCTCTCAGTTTGGTTAACTATACTGTTGGTGGGTGTGCACTATAGGTTTCTATAAAAACATTTTATCATTTCATGAATTAGTTTTACATATTTTTCCCATGGCCTTAAATATTGTTAGACTATCATGTTAATAAGGAGCCGTGGTGGTGGGATGGTTAAGAGCTCAGCTACTAACCAGAGGTTGCCGATTTAACCCACCTAGCTGCTCTGTGGGAGAAAGACCTGGAAATCTGCTTCCCTAAAGATTACAGCATAGAAAACCTTATGGGGCAGTTCTCCTCTGTCATATGGGGTTGCTAGGAGGCAGAATCGACTGCACCTGACAACAACATCATGATTTTAATAGTGTAAAGATAGTAACTAATTATGTATATGTATATGTGTGTACCTATATAATGACCTTTAAACTAGTTCTTTGTTGTTGGCTTTTAACTTGTTTCAGGTTTTCTCAGGAAACTCTCAGCCAATGTCCTTTCAGTGGTATCTATTTTACTTTTTGATTTTTTGGGTTCCGGTCTAGAACCCAACCACCTACATTCTGCCGTTTATTAAGATGTTTGACCTAAGGCAAGTTAGAGTCTGTGACATAGTTTTCTTTCTCTCTCTGGTGAGAACAGATCCTTTCTGTTATGATTACAAAGTTAGGTCCTAATCTTCCTTTAAAGCGTCTTATTGACTCTGTCATCCGTAATTGGATGGATTGTTTCTCTGGATCATCTGAAAAATTGTTTGGTGGACAGAACATAATATTTATCACTTGATTAAAGGAAACCATTTGTTGAATTGTGTTTTCGTTTGTATATTTCTTTTGTCACCCACACAAATGTAACATCCACAGTGGATCTCATATTCTCAGTACCCCTTAAGCAATAACTTCCCATTCTCTCCTCCCCTGAGTCCCTGGTAGCAACTGATAAACTTTGGTTCCTGTACGTTTATCATAGATTAAAATTACGGGTGTATGCCTTGCTGAAAATTGTCTTACAGGGACCCAGCCATACCCTTACCTCAGTCAAAACTGATTCATAGGTCTCTTGCCCCCCCTCATATTGTGTGAAAATAAGAACAATCCTTCCCCCCAGCCCCCGCCCACCACAGCACTGTGAACCCTTGGAGAAATGTGTGTTTCATGTTAGCTACCATTGATATACAAGGATTTGTCCCCAGGAGTGGGTGTGCTTGTGTCCTGCTCAGAGGGCTTTGTAAAGGGGCATAATGTTGATGAACTACAGGAACCTGGTCTGCCTGGGTGAGGTAGAAGTCAGGACCTGCCCTGGGATGGCTTTGCATTTTCCATTGTGAGTCTCTTGAGAGCCTCTGCCTTTCTAGACTGAGTTTTCATTCCCTTCTTTATGGGAATGATTGAGGCTTTGCTGATTCAGAACTGAAGTGCTTCATAGTGTGGCATCTGAACTTTGACCTTCCCCTTTCTTCAAAGGATCTGCCCTGAGTTAATGGTGGTTCCAGAACTTGAGTGTGCATAAAACCTGTGGCCAGCATTTCAAACACCCAGTGTCGTAGTTACTCCCGTGTGCTTCTGATTTAGTAGCTCATAGAAGAGTGTTTAGAAGTCTGCACCTTTAAAATGATCCCTAAGCATTTAGAAGGAACAGGCCAGTGGTTTCTTTAAAAAAAAAAATATTGTGGTCAAATATATGCAATAAAATTTTGCCATTTTCACCATCTTTAAGTGTACAGTTCAGTGACATTAAATATATTAACAGCATTGTGCAACCATTTCCACCATCTGATTCCAAAACTTTTTCATCATTCCAAACAGAAATTCAGCAACCCTCTAGCTGAAACTCCCAGTTCCCTCCTCCCTGAGTCCCTGGTAGCCACTGACAAAATTCAGTCTCTGTGCTTTTCCGTTTTTTACTTATTTCATGTATGTTATATAATATTTGTCCTATTATGTCTCATTGATTTCACTTAGCGTAATGTTTTCAGGGTTTATCCATGCTGAAGCCTGAACAAAATTTCTCTTTCATATGATGTGTTTTTTATATTATGTATTCATCTGTTGATGGCCACTTGAGTTGTTACCACCTTTTGGCTGTTGTGAACAGGGTTCTAATGCAATTTGGTATACAAGTATCTTTTTGAATCCCTGCTTTCACATACTTTGGATTCAGACTGCCAGTTTAGGAGTGGAATGTCTGGTTCATATGGTAATTCAGTGTTTAACTTTTTGAGGAGCTGCCAAACTATTTTCCACAGTGGTTGGGCTATTTTACATTCTCACCCACAGTGCGTGAGGGTTCCAGTTTCTCTGCATCCTCACCAACACTTGTTCTTTTCCAGTTTCTGTGGGTGTGAAGTGGTATCTTCTGTGGTTTTGATTTTCATTTTCTTAGTGCCTAGATGAGGTTTTGATTTTCATTTCCCTACTGCCTAGATGACCCTGAGCAACTTTTCATATGCTTGTTGGGCATTTGGTTATCTTCTTTGGAGAAATGTCTATTTGAGTCTCTTGACCATTTTTTAAAAACTTATAAGTAAATCGCCAGGCTTTCTTCCTAGTTTGTCTTAGACTACACGCTCCCCTGAAACCTGTTCAGCATCCCAGCAACATGCAAGTCCCCAATGACAGACAGACGGGTGGTGGCTGTGCATGAGGTGTATTGGTCTAGAATTGAAGCTGGCTTTTCCATGTGAGTGGCATGAATTCTACCTCTGACCAATTACTGTCCCCATTTTCCACCATATTCCCACTGGCGTGGAGTCGATTCAAACTCATAGGGACCCTATATGACAGAGTAGAACTGCCCCATAGGGTTTCCAAGGCTGTAAATCTTTATTTAAGCAAACTGCCACATCTTTCTCCCACAGAGCGGTTGGTGGGTGGGAACCACTGACTTTTTGATTAGTGGCCGAGCACTTTAACCATTGCACTGTCAGGTTTCCTCCATTATAATAAGGGTAACTGTTTGACGCACAACTTAGCAATAACATAGACAAAGTCACTGGGTCTCATTCTTACCCATGTAAATAATGCAAACCTAGGAAGGAGAAAATAGGCCTAGCCCTTATCCTTCAGTCTTCCTTTTTCTCCTACAGCAGCCAGCTGCCACAGTGAGAATGCGGGGGTGTGGTGATGGAGGCAGAGCAGACAGGAAGGAGGAGCCTGGGCCACTGATTACTTCACAGAGCGCCTGTCACATCCTGAATCGTAACCTCTGGCCTTCTTGTTATAGGAAGAGACAAATATAAAAGTTATACTTGTTTTGGTTTTCTGGGTCACTGGGGTGGCATCTACCTTAGGTGATAAGCCCAACACAGGCCGGAGACTGGGAGAAGTGAGCAGGGCCTGGCTGGATCACTGAAGCCAGCCGAGAGGTTGGCGGTCACGGTGGGCACACCGGGACAGGGCATCCATGATAGAGTGTTCCTTCCGTCAGTTACAGGCTCCAGAGCAGTGAGTGTGTGGATGTGAATTCCCCAGGGGTCTTGTGAAAATGTGGATTTTTATCTTGGGTTGGAGTTGAGATTCTCTGTATCAGTCAAGTGCCCAGTTTATGCTGAAAATAACTGTTATAGAAATAGGTTGTGAGTTAAAACCAGAGAGTGCTGTTAGAGAAATTAATAACAGGCTGGATAATGCTTAAAGAGCAACCACTTGTGTACAGATAACGTGAGAGAGAAGAGAGACAGAAAACATCTACACAGAGACCAAGAAATAAAACAGTAGGTGTCAGCTGGGTGAGGTGGAGGGGAGGAAAGAAATGGGAACAGACGTAGGGGGCTGCTCCTTAGAGAAAACTGAAGGATTTTCTGATTTATTCGTTGATTGATTATTGTAAGGTTGAAAGAGAATGTTTCCAGATTTTTGGAAAGATTAGTGGTGTCACATATGGAGAGTGGAGGGGAAAAAAAACAAAACTAAAAAACTCAATAGGAAGAAAAAAATGCTAGTTTCAAAATCAACAGGAAAAATACTGATTACATATTACCATGGTATAAATGAAATCAAAATTTTTTAAGGAAAGCATAACGGAAGAGTTTCAACTGCACATAATTACAAATCAATGACGCATCATGAGTTCATTGGCTTGAATTGAAAAAGTACATTCTCCTGAAAATTCATTAATGTTGATGTCTAATAAAGATGTGTAGGTTCTACAAAGATCAACTTTTAACTTCATAGGTGAACCCTCAACCTAAGCTTTGGACTCCTGACACCATGGAGGAAGCCAGGTTCACGTGTTCCAATCTGGGCAGGCCTGGATGCCTCTTGTGCTGTTAGATGAGGAAGCCCCTCCTGTGACACTGGCCAGAGGAAGAGGCCTGTGGAGCTGCATGAAGAATGAAAGTGTGTGCTCTGGAAGGCTGGAGCAGGATCTGCCTTAAGTGCAGAGGCCCTCAGAGTGGAGCATGGCCTTGAGCCTGGGGGGAAGCCCTGTCCAGGGAAAGAGCTGAAGACCAAGAACCTGTCACTTCCTCCTTATTCACCACTGTTTCCTTCCATTTCAGGTCCTAAGTGTGTCTCAGGGAGAGTTCAGCCTAGGCAGCTGTGGACCGAGGACAACCTGGCAGATCCATGCAGTCACAAGTAAGGATTTTAACTGCTGTGACTGGTGTGTGGACCAAACGTCATTCATCTCCCTCCAAACTGCCTAGTGGCTCTGCTTCCCCTGCCATCCCTCTTCCTGAAGTGGCTTCTTGGGCTTTAAGAGCACATTCACTTAGACTTCCTGAAGCTGGAGCCAGGAAATGGTGGGTACTACAGAGAACTGGGGTACTGTTACTCTAAGGGGTGAGGCTGGATATGAATTATTGGGGTCGTGTGTGCTACAGGCCTTGAGGTTCCTCAATGCGTTAAATAGGTGGCAAAGGAGACCATGTAACTGAGCCCTAAGAGGCATCCTGGTGTCCTGCTCTGCTGTCACTGGCTCCTTCCTCTCCATGCGTGGATTATCAAGCCTTGGATGCCTGAGGCCACCTTCATTCTGTGACTAACGCATCATGGGGCGTTAACATCCCCATCCTGGGCTTTGGTTCTCTGTGTTGTGTGACAGAACCTCCTGAGCAGAGTCTGAAGATGGGGCAGCTCTGGGTGAGGAGACCAAGCCTCAGATCCTCCAGAGCCATCCTTGTCCCATCCCTGCAAGCAGATTTCTTGGCTTCCCCGAGGCACTGGCGCCTTTTCTGTGCAGTTCTATAATTGCAGCTCCACTTCTCACACTGTGTGATGTGGTAGAAAACTGGGGAGAGAGTTGGTAGGGAAAGACCTTGACTGTTAATGGGGTCCTGCTTAGGGTTTGATCCTTTCATGATCTCACCAGTGATATGAAGCAAAAGAGAGTGAGTCCAGCTGGATCATGTGTGGGGTCTCCAGATCCATCCTTTTTGGAGGGATGCTCTTTGAGGCTTTCCGGTGTGTGGGAAGCATGTTTCCCCAGTCTAAGTCTTTGTTCTCTTACCCATCTCTGCCTAGAGCTGGTAGTGAGTCCCTGTAATTTTCAGCTGCTCGCCACAGTTTCAGATAACCAAAACCAAACCCTTTGCCATCGATTCCGACTCATAGCGACCCTGTAGGACAGGGTCTGTAGGACAGACTAGAACTGCCCCATATGGTTTCCAGGGAGCGCCTGGTGGATGCGAACTGGCAGCCTTTCGGTTAGCAGCCGTAGCTGTTAACCACTATGCCACCAGGGTTGCCAGTCTTGAATGGGAATCTAAAATGAAAGTGTTCTTTTTTGCTAGACAAGCCAGCATATGAGATGGTGTATTTAACTTCTTGGGTTTACAGTTTCCATTGGAAGAAAATTTCTAGATCCAGTTTGTTTCTACTGACAGTTTTTCAATTTAATGGATATAAACTTCTCAAATGCTGAAAAATGCGTGTTTTAAGTGACATAAGAATAAAAATTCTAAGGTAAAACACATTATTTCTTCTATTTTGTTACACAAAAGTAGCTTGGAATTCCCTCACTTGTTTTCTAATTAATACAGTTCCCTGAAGTTTTTATAACAATAGGTAGAGAGCTTAAATCTAATTTCTTGTTAAACTCCATTATATTGTATACGGTTGATCTTTGTTTATTATTTTGACCATATTGCCGCAAATGGACACTTGATTGTGTCCACTATTTTACTCTTACAAAGCTTGCTCTAGTGAATATAAATGTAAATTTCTAAGATCCAGGTATCAAACGTTGAGACCTAAACTAAGACAAGTTAAAATGAAGGAGTTTTCACATGACTTTGTAAAATTATTATGTGAAAATTGTATTTCTTTTCTGTTTCAAGCCGTTATTTTAAGTTTCTATTGTCAACTACGTCATCAAGTAGGAGTGGCATAAACTGTTCCTTGTGTAGTTTAACTAATAGGAATCTAAATCTCTGATAATAAGTAGACCTTGTCAGTTTTTATGGCCTTCCAGTGTGTCCCGCCCTGATGTCATCTATCGTCTGTGTGGAGATCATTGCTATCTGCATTTAAGACATTATTATTATTACAATTATTATTTCTTTTATTATAGCTTTGATGTCCAAGTCTTTCTTTTTTTATTTTTTGATAATATTGTTTTTTTCAGTGAAGGTTTACACAGCTATTTAAGTTCCCATTGAACAATTTCGACACAAATTGTTCAGTGACATTGGTTACATTGTTCACAATTTGTGAACATTCTCAGTATTTCTGTTCTGGTTGTTCCTGTTCCATCAGTCTAGTTTTCTTGCCCCTTTACATTCTTATCTTTGCTTTAAAATAATTGTTGACCACTTGGTCTCATGTAGCTGATTTTTTAATGGCGCACAGTACTCACCGGCGATACTCTTTATTTTGTGAGCCAATATGTTATGTAGCTAAAAGGTGACGTTGGGCTGGTTTCGGTTCGTGGTTGAAAGAGTATTTCAGGGCAACATTCTTGGGAAATCCTCCCATCTCGGCCTGCATAGTAAGTTTGTTTTATTTTATCTTTTATATATTGTTGTAGTTTAAATTAAGTTTACATTTCAAGTCAGTCATCCATACAAAAATTTGTACATATATTGTTATGTGACCCTAATTGCTCTCCCCATACGGTGACAGCACACGCCTCCTTTCCACCCCGATTCTCCATGTCCATTCAACCAGCTCCTAACCCTGTATGCCTTCCTGTCTCTTTCTGGACAGAAACTGTCCATTTAGTTTCCTGTATCTACTTTAGCTAAGAGGCACACCCCTCACAAGTATCACTTTATGTCCCACAGTCCAGTCCAATCCCTGTCTGAAGAGTTTGCTTCAGAAATTGTTTTAGTTCTGAGCTGATAGAGAATCCTCCCAGGGGCCTTGCTTTCTGGGTTTCCTCCAGTCTCATTCAGACCATTAAGTCTGGTCTTACTGGAATTTGAGTTCTGCACCCCCCCTTTCTCCTGCTCCATCAGGGACTGTCTGTTGTGTTCCCTGTCAGGGTGGTCATTGGTGGTACCTGGGCACTATCCAGTTCTTCTGGTCTCAGGCTGATGGAGTCTCTGGTTTATGTGGCCGTTTTGTCTCTTGGGCTAATATTTGGCTTTTGACTTTTGTGTTCCTCGTTCTTCATTCCAGATGGGTTGGGACCAATTGATGCATCTTAGATGGCCGTTTGCTAGCTTTTAAGACCCCAGATGCCACTCACTAAACTAGGATGCAGAACATTTTCTTAATAAACTTTGTTATGCGAGTGGACGTAGATGTCCCCTGAAAGCATGGTCCCCAGCATTTGTCCTTCTGTGACTAAATGTACTCAGCATAGTGACCTCCAGCTTCCTCCATGTTGTGTTTCACAGCTTCATTGTTCTTTATCGTTGCATGGTATTCCACTGTGTGGCTATAACGTTTATCCTTTCATCCGTTGACGGGCTCCTAGGTTGTTTCCATCTTTTGCTGTCACGCACAGTGCTGCAGTGAAGGTGGGTGTACATATATCTGTTTGTGTTGGCTCTTATTTCTCTAGAATATATTCTAAGGAGCAGGATTGCTGGATCATATGGTACTTCTATTTCTGGCTTTTTAAGGAAGTGCCAAATCGATTTCCAAAGTGGTTGTACCATTTTACATTCTCACCAACAGTGTGTAAGTGTTCCAGTCTCTCCACAGCCTCTCCAGCATTTATTATTTTGTGTTTTTTGGATGAATGCTAGTCTTGTTGGGGTGAGATGATATCTCATTGTAGTTTTGATCTGCATTTCTCTAATGGCTGATGATCCTGAGCATTTCTTCATATGTCTGTTAGCCACCTGAATATCTTCTTTTGAGAACCTGCCTGTTCATATCCTTTGCCCATTTTTTAATTGGATTCTTTGTTTTTTTGTTCTTGGGATTTTGCAGTGTCTTGTAGATTTTAGAAATTAAACGCTGATCGGATTTGTCATAGCCAAAATTTTTTCCTAGTCTGTAGATTGTCGTTTGACTCTTGGTGAAGTCATTTGATGAGTATAAGTGTTTGATTTTTAGGAGCTCCCAGTTGTCTAGACTGTCTTCTGGTGCTTGTGCGTTGTTACTTAATAGTTCATATTCTGTTTATGCCATGTATTAGGGCTCCTAGCACTGTCCCTATTTTTTCTTCCACGATCTTTATTGTTTTCGATTTGATGTTTAAGTCTTTCATCCATTTTGAGTTAGTTTTTGTGCGTGGTGTGAGGCATGGGTCTTGTTCACAGTTTTTTGCAGATGGATATCCAGTTATGCCAGCACCATTTGTTAAAGAGACTGTCTTTTTCCCAGTTAATGGACTTTGGGCCTTTGTCAAATATCAGCTGCTCATAGGTGGGAGAATTTATGTCTGGATTCTCAATTCTGTTCCATTGGTCTGTGTATCTGTTGTACCAGTACCAGGATTTTTTGACTACCGTGACGGTATAATAGGTTTTAAAATCAGGTAGTGAGAGGCCTCCTACTTTATTCTTCTTGAGTAATGCTTTACTTATCCGGGGTCTCTTCCTTTTCTGTATGAAGTTGGTGATTTGTTTCTCTATCTCATTAAAAAATGCCGTTTGAATTTGGATCAGGATTGCATTGTATTTGGAGATCGCTTTGGGTAGAATTGACATTTTCACAATGTTGAGTCTTCCTATCCGTGAGCAAGGTATGTTTTTCTACTCTTGCAAGTCTCTCTTGGTTTCTTGCAGTAGTATGTTGTAGTTTTCATTGTATAGGCCTTTTACGTCTCTGGTTAGATGTATTCTTAAGTATTTTATTTTCTTGGGGTTATTGTTAATGGTATTGATTTGGTGATTTCCTCTTGGAAGTTCTCTTTGTTAGTGTAGAGGAATCCAGCTGATTTTTCTATGTTTATCTTGTATCCTGAAACTTTGCTGAAATCTTCTATTAGTTCCAGTCGTTTTCTTGTGGATTCTTTGGGGTTTTCTGTGTATAAGATCCTGTCATGTGCAAATAGAGATACTTTGATTTTTTCCCTACCAATTTGGATGCCCTTTCTTTTTCTAGCCTAATTGCTCCAGCTAGTACCTATAGCACAATGTTGAATAAGAGTGGTCATAAAGGGTATCCTTGTCTGGTTCTCATTCTCAAGGGGAATACTTTTCAAAGCATCAATGTTCATGAAGTGTATTGGTGTGTGATTTTCTTTTTTTGTGATGTGTTTGCCTGGTTTTGGTATCAGGGTTATGCCGGCTTCACAGAATGAGTTTGGGAGTATTACACTTTTCTATGCTCTGAAATAACTTTAGTAGTAATGGTGTTAAGTCTTCTTTGAAAATTGGGTAGAATTCTCCAGTGAAGCTATCTG